CGACGCGGTATATACACGACGTACATTGTCGCAATTACGAAAAACAAGAGATTGCATGTTTGTCGATGTCGTTGAGTACATGGAGGATTGTACTGTAAACATGACTTAAATAAAGTTATTCGATGAGTGATACGAGACAATGATATCATTTATTATATTCAACATCAAGAGTCGCAATATCATAAAGTAAATTAGAGATATAAAAGAATTGCAGGAACAAGTTTACAAGAATATCATGATTAATTTCTATATTAATAATTTTTAGGCAACATAGCACACAATATCGACAAATTTGGTTTAAAAATTGGTAAATGCTTGCGAGATGAACATCATGAAAAATACAATTGATACAGATGTACTGCGCTTTTACATATTTTCTGTAGCCTCTATTATGCCATAATTTTTCTATCTGTTTATCGTGCTTTTACTTTCAAATTTTTCGCTGGCAATCGCAAGCGGACCCACCGCTCCGGGCTTCAACACCTGGTGATTCGGCGTGGCAGCGAGCGATCCTCCACCCTTTTGTTTCTGTGCGGCATCATACAACTGCTTCTGCATCACAGCCAAAGGAACTTTATTCGCGGATAGGAATTCCTTCATGGAGACCAGTTCGCCTGACATCCTGCGAGGCGTCTCTGAGTTATCCTGCGCTCTGATCGAGTCTCTACCAACAAGTCTGTTCGGCCTCCTCTTCGAATAGTATACGGTTGATACGGAGGACTGTCTCCTTGGTAAATACGGCGCTGCTACATTTCGATTACCGTATTGTAATTTATGTATCACGTAATTCAAACCCTGCTTTATTACGATCGATGTGACGTTCAGCAAGGAGTATATACAGCAACATCCCACCACGAGAAAAACAAAATTCGTGAATCTATACCTGCATAAATGAAGAATAAAATTGCTGCATTTATTTGCGTTTTCAGAGCTTGAATGCGAAAAGCTACTGGCGCGTCTTAGTTAAAGAAAAATAAAAAATTTGCTAGAATCTCTCATTGAAAGTTAGTTTACAAAAATTCAATTTGCACCTTGAATAAATTATACGAATTCGATTTCGTTTTGGCGAAACAATCTTCGCAATCTTACCAATGTACGTAAGGATAGTTTGGCTGTTGCGTGCTAACGAAGTCGCCAAAGCCGATAGTGGTGAAGCTCACGAAGGCAAAGTACAACGCGTCGAAGTAATTCCAGCCCTCCAGCGGCGCGTAAAGTGCAGCGGCACAACAGGCGACGATGCAAGAGGTGACGGATAAATAGAACATGACCCAGTACACGCTCGGTTTCCATTGATCCAGGTTCACATGGTCGTCGTCATCGTCAAGGATGTCCGGCAGAGATGTTCTCTGGGTGCTCGACGATTTGGGGATCCGTCGGGATGTCAACGTAGTCTTGCGGAGACGTCTTCTCAATCGACGTACATGCCAGCTGCGCAAGATCCACGCCAGGAGAGTAATAATTCTCTCCAAAAAGAGATTGAAGAACAAGATGCCGCCTAAATTATTACTTAATGTTAGGATCATTAAGAAGTAGCTTCATTAAGGCCCCGTTTCACTAATGTAAGATTAATTTTAATCTCGATTTAATTTATTACTTATATTTTTGTATTTGTAGAGTAAATTGAACCGAAATCGAAATTAATCTTATATATATGGAACTAAGCCTATGTAATGCATTTAAGTTTTTATTCTAGATTCGTGAAATCTTATTATGTATTGTTACAGCTAGATTAATATTGTTATTTTTTTTTAGACATCTTTTTGTTATTAAGTATAAATGTATTTAGATTTTTTAGATTTTTTTATTATTACCGGAACAACCGAAGAAACCATAAAGAACGACTGCCGCTTTACCCGTCGTTGTCTGGGGTGCGGTGCTTCCGTACCCTACAAAGTAATTTCAGTATCACGCTTCTTTCATTTCAGAAGTATATTACACGGCGACGAATGCACACATATATATCGACCAAAGGACAAGCCAGAGTCGTGTGGATAAATGCAAGACTAGGTCGCGGGATATTAGCATTCTGGAATTCACCAGAACATTCTCATGCATACACCGGCCAACGACCCTTACTTAACATCATTATGACCAAGTTTTGCCGAGGAATGCGATCACCTCGACAAAACTTTTCTCTATAGTGTATAAATACGCGGTACATCGCGAAGTTATTAATACTCGGAAGAGTATAAGAAAGAGCAATTATTTAAAGTACGATAGCCTCTTTATTTTTTTGTCTATGTTATATAAATGATAATTTTATTCCAGAATATAATCGAAGATCATACAATTTTTTTTTCATTTTAAAGATAAAAATCCGAGAAATAAGATTATATAACTTAAATTTAATTCGCTAGATTCACGAATATTGATTAAAATTAATAAGAATAATTATAATGAAAAAATTTTGACTTTTACAGATATTAAGATTTCGAGTGCGGAATCGGGCAAGAGCGTCTTCTTGAAAGTCGATTTGTTTCGCGACATCGTGAGAACAAGAAACTAAAAAAGTGCGAGGAAGTAAAGTGCTCGACACGAATCCGGTAAATCCCACTGACTCCGATACTCTTTCAGCCACGTTGTAGATACAGATGATTAGTAACTGGCATTCCCATTATAGTATATTGCACTATGTTTCTTACCGATCGTAGAAACTATGGTGCCAACGAAGTGAAAGCTACCAGGAAAGTCCCAGCGGCGTCTCTTGTTAATGATGCCGGTAGCGGAAGCGTTGCCGTAGGCATATAACAGCTCATGCAACCTTTGCAAGGCCAAGGGGCTACCTCGCAGGTGGTGCTTCCGAAACGCGTGGTAGACCCGCCAGAATTCTGTCGCCTATGCGCATCCCCAAAAAGTATCAATAAATATAAATTATCTGTATTAATTCGGGAATAATCACTTGGATATCTTTATACTCCAGCGACTAAAAAATATGAATTGTTGTAAAATATTAAATAACAATGAAAAAGTAATCGTAAAATTATAGAGATGTCAGACGTTTAAAATACTGAAGATATGATTTAAACACAATAAAAAATGACAATAAAATGAGGATCGTTAAGAGTCGGCGCGGTAAACGGAGAGTAGTAAATTAATACAAAAATTCATAATTGTTCGAAATGTACAGTTTGTGAATAAATTTTTAATTGAATTATTAAAATGAATTTTTGTATTAATTTATTGCACTCGTTTATCGCACCGACTCTTAATGGCTCTCATGTTGTTTTCTGTTTTAAAATATTATTTTGAATGGATATTGTTTAACATATTATTTAATAACTATTCTTTAGTAGCTTTTAAATATGTAATTCCTTCAAAAACCCGCAAATACTAATTAGGATGTAAAAACATCCAAGATGATCGTTACATCGTTTATGTAAAAAAAATCAGGTGATTCTATTCTGAGATAAAATATAATTCTATAATCAGGTTGAATATAATTCTTCAATCCTGATTTGTAGATTTCATAATAATAGTATATTTATCGATCACGTACAAAAATACACACAAAATTCATTGATTTATTGTGAATTATGATAATTTAGAAAGAGAAATTTCAATTTTCTTTGTATGAAGATCACTGTAATCTTTTAATTTTAATTTAAGAGATATTTTCTCGATCTGTGATTCCTTACTTTGCGTCTCTTGAAGAATTATAGCGGAAGTAAGAGAGTAATTTTTTATATTTATATATATCCGGATACATTTTTTGTACCTGTCGTATCTCGAAATCGCTTTCCAGCCTTTGAAAGAGTGCCGCGCCTGCGAGCATGTACGCTGCCAGGACAACGGCAAGGAGGATAATCCTGGCGTTGTCCTCCGCGAGGCCTCCGCACAAGCACATTACCGGCGACTCATCTTTTCGAGAGCCGGTGGCTGCTGCGTGCGATCCCCACCGTGCTTTACATCCGGTACGGCGCAAGCTCGACGGCCGCGAAGAATTTATAAAGAAATACAGAGATGCGAGAATAGTTCAAAGAATATCTCCTTTTCAACGTATACAGACAAATAAGATCTAAACAATCGGTTAGAGAATATTGCTGCAGCTAATTAATTTTCTTTGCTAAAAAAAAATGTTACTCCATTAATTTTGTCATGTAGATAGCTTCGTGTAAGTAATTAAATCTAAGATTTTAATTTCCGTGTTTTTAAGTTTGTGTGAGAGATATAGTAAACAGCGAAGGAGATAAAATTGATCGGAGCTAGATTGGAAAATATCCTAATTGCCTCGTATTGACACGATGGTACTAGACGTAGCAGGCAGTCGAGATGTATGTGGGGCAATCCAACGCCCGCACCATTGAAAGCAAATCCTTTGATGAGATAAAAATAGAAATATAAACACTCGCTTGCGTATTCATAGTGTGAATTTCACCGAGGGGATGTCTTTTCGCGAAAAGCGGCTCCACGCGGTGGATAATTACCATGGCGTTTGCGAAAAAGGTGGATGTTAAATTACTTTACGGATTACCGATATCTCCAATTTTGTCAATTAAAAAGTGAATCGGGTATTTCGAAAATACTGTAAGTCTAATTTTAGAAATTTCGTTACAATTGAAATGCTAGAAAAGATATGAAAGCTATTTGTAAAATAATTCATACTGCTTCTCAAAGTATTTACAACAAATTTTCGATGAAAAAGGAGAAGGAAAAGAGCGAGACCAACAATGAATAAATCAAAGACATTATATAGTAAAAATACTTTGTTAATAGACAATCTGCGAAAAATACATTTACATAAATAGATACTATCAGTATTCTCATATCGAGATTATTTTTTGTACAATCATATAAAAATCTACATAAAATATCGTTTACATTACCGTGGTGAAAAAATTTCTCATAATTATATAAGATAAGAAAATCTTAGAAATTTTAGAATATGTTAGAATTCATATATGAATAATTTTAGAAAAGGTGTGAATTTTCTCTTCTGAACTTCTGAAAAGTATTCTAATTTGTATAAAAAAAAACTGAGAAATTTTCTAAAAAGTTATAAAATTAGAAAATCTGAAATTTATGTAAAAATTATGAATAATTACATAAAGAATTTCATTCAATATAAAGAATTTCTAAAAATTTTCACCAAGGCAGATCTGTTCTTTGTTGCTGAACTAATATACACTTTATATTGTACTTAAAACGAAATAGATATATATTTAAAGTTTGGCGAAATCGAGATAAAAAATCTCAATTAGTCTTACAATTAGTGCAGTTCAGTGCAGCAATAAAGAGCAAATGTATTATCCACTATAATACTATCTTTACATCGTGTATGTTAGAATTTATTGTTACATATTAACAGCGCTCCAAAATTCACCCATAGTTTCTCCCGGCACAATCATTAATGCCTTGCTTGCGGACCTTCTTCCAATTTCCGCCAAACGACCTGGAAAGGAAAAGACATTAATTAACGTAATGGATATGTTACTATGTCATATTACTTGTTTCACACGAAAGAGGAAGTTTTTTCGAGGGAGTTTTACGATACAAATCATCGTAAAATAATGGTATTTCCTTTTCTATTTGAAAGATATTTTTTCAAAGTGAGATCGTGTCGTAATGATTACGTGATATTTAATCGAGGAATGGCACTTTACTTACATTGCACATTTCTCTAACTAACGCCTTTTCACCATCATGACCTTCTTCTCTTTCCAGTTGTTCTCTAACCTCGAGAACTTGGAGAGCACGCACTACGGCCTCCGGTCGGCTTCCTAAGTGAGTATTGTCGTTCGGGCTCGCAGGACTATCCCAAACTTCACCTGATGGAAGCACTTCCCAACCTTGCGCTCTGGCCTGGAGAACACTCTTGTCTTCTTCTAATTGCTTCACCCGTTGCTCCAAGCTCCTCACGTATTGCATTGTTTGGTCTGCAAGAGATTCGCAACTAATCATTCCGAAGATCATTAAAATAATAACTGTAATGTATACTTTTACATATATGATTATGCATACTCTTCATTTGATGACAGTAAGCACTTATATTTGCACAGTATTCATTTATCATGTGCCATACATTACATAAACATAGGCAGCGATTTATTTAAGAAAAGATTTCATTTTTTATGAAGCTTTCATTTTCTTCGAATTATGATTATTATATTCTTCTAATATTAAATTAAATTAAAATTATACTTAAGCATATTTTCTTCCGCATAAAAGAAATGGTTGCATTTATTGATTTAATACAAGAGGGAGAGAAAGAGGTCTGCATTTTTTACTAGATTATACCGTTAAATGTGGAAGTGTGCCTCGGCCTCGGCGGCGCAGTCTCCTCGGCCTTCGTGCTCGAACTCGACCCGTCCCCGTTTTCGCTTATATCTATTCTCTGGTGTTTTAGCTTCAGTTTGTTTTTCATTAATTCCTGCTTTTTATTATCCAGTTGACGTAACTTATTCTGGTAAGCCGAGACTTCCTGTCGCATAACGCTCACTGTGTATCGGCCAAACCTCTGCCACTCTCTCGCTAGCTTGCGACCCTTTTGACGATCGTCGTCCAAAAAGCAGCAAAGATCGCGCAATTCCTGATTATCGTCGTTCAGTCTTTGGTTGGCTTCTTTCAGCAACCGCAGCTCATTCAGCTGGAAAGTAGATAATTTTGTTTAGTCTCGTTTTATGTTTCTTAGAGTTACATTCTTCTTTCAAATTTTGTATTATTATATACAATGTCCATAAACATGTATACAAATGGATGTAGATATACGAAAACTATCGAGAACATTTGGATTATTTTGTTAATTGATTGCAAATTATAACAAAGTTTATTATCTCATAAATATCTTCAAATAATTATTCAAAAAATTTATAATCGTTAATAACTATTTAAATATATTTTAGTCTTTTGTATTTATATTCTTATAGATGATAATGACAGATTTTCCATTCAGCTGAATATCTTTTGCAATCGATTGTAAATTGAATCAAAATTTGTTATCGTAGATAACTATTCAAAAATCTATTTAAAGGATTTATAACTGTAAATAGTTATTCAAATATATTGTTTTTTTAAATCTAAATTTTTTACAGGTGATACCGATATATCTTCTACAGCCGAATATGTTTTGTATTATTAATTCGCGTGCCTGTGATGAGAGAAAAGAGTCATTGATCGCCGCAGATGACGCATTCGCACCGCGGTACACGCCGATTGCTGAGAAAAAGCCTTTCACCTATTCATCACACGTGTGTAAGCCATGCGTGACCGCGTACTTTTGGCAAGCATTTTGCTGGCCAGAGGAAACCGATTGTCCACGTGATGGTTTGCGGTTTATCTCACGTATGCGTGACTGTTTGAAATTACGACGGTCGGTTCAATCTGTGTATGACCTACAAGAGCCCCTCAAAAACTTCCGTATAACGTGCTAAAGATTTCAAGGACAGCAAATAGCATCCTACATCTCGAATGTGACAAAATATTGTTAACGTAATGTTTTATTGATATCGTGAACTATGTATATCATGACCTCTTAAAAAAACGCAAGATTTTCTTTGCAAGACAGGTTCTATTTGCAATTTAGCTTCCTGGTTAATGATTAGAAATTGTAGCGGATTTATCACAAACCGTTATATAAAAACGATAGTAAACAAAATTCAAAATAAAAATAAAATGAATGATACGTACGAATAATTATTTAGATTGAGTTTTACAATTTTATTCTAAGTAGAGTTCAACAGGCTATTAATTTAGGTATATGTATAAATAACATTAAAAGTATATGTATAAATAATATTAATAATTTTAAAAATTCAGAAACTCCTAGTTCAAATTTGTATTCAAATAATTTATAAAGGTAAAATTTATATATCGCATAGATAATTACAACAGAAAACTTTTCAAATTACACTACTGAGTTATCCAAGTCCGATATCATGTATGAACTTGTATGTATGAACATGTATGAACTTGTATTAAATCTCATTAATTTTTCGGTCATTTATATTACCCAAAATTACAGAATCCACCAAGGAGAACTCACCAAGTTCTGTATCTGGCGATTCTGCTCGGCGGCGAGCCTAGCGATGTCACTCTCGGTCTTCCGCACGAACTTAAGCATCTCCACAGGGCCGAGTCGCAGAAATTCGTCGTCGCTGATCCTCTGCCTGACTGGCGTACTCTGGCCGTTGTTCACCGCCGGATACTGACTGCTGGGTGGCAAGTACTGACCTTGGCCGAGCTTAGGCTGGAGGTAGGTAGAAGGCTGTGGCTGTTGTTGACTCTTAGACGCTGCCGCCGACGCGGCAGCGATCAACGGGTTACCCGGTTGGGGATGATGATGATGATGATGCTCTATCCTCGGCGAGTACTTGCTCTGCGCATCCTTCGATGGTGGCTGCTGCTGTGATTGCTGCTGCGATTGAGTTGGCTGCTGCGATTGATGCTGCTGCTGCTGATGATGCTGCGAAGACGACGGGAGAGGCGGCAACGTGCGCGGCTGCGTTGTCTGATGATGGTTCAAGGCCGCGCCCGGACCTTGATTACTGCCGGTCTGAACCAAGCCTGGCGCCGATGTACTTCCGTTGGTGAAGTGTAGATGATTCTTCAAGATGCCGCTGGTAGGCTGCGGCGGGGGCTGATAGCGCGGCGGCAGTTGGTCCACTGGTTTGATCACGTGCGGAGAATGTTGCTGCTGCTGCTGTTGCTGTTGCTGCTGATAATGCTGCGGCTGCGGCTGCTGCTGCTGCTGCGACTGGGACTTACTCTTATTGGACATCGCGGCTAATTTAGCTCCAGGCTGTGCCGTGTCCCATTTCAGAAAGTCCGCCGCAGCCTCCTCGCGCCGGTTTGACCCGCCGAAATCTGGGTCAGCCGGTCCGCGCGACCGGCCCCGCGCGATACATACGTTCCCTCCACCGACACCTGGGCCTCGCCTTATCGCCGTAGGGGACCTTGCTCGCGCGCTACTCTTTCGACGACCGATTTCTGCGTTCTCCTTCTCTTCTTCTTCTTCGGCTTTTTTGCCTTCTCCTCGTATTCGCCTTCTTTCGCGCGCTTCTTCTTCCGAGTGCACCTGTTGCCAGCGGCAAATCTTACGAAAGAGTCTCGTCTAGCGAGAATCACATCACTTGTTATGATTCACTTACAGTCCGTTTTTTTTCAGCGTTAATCTTAACTTTCTATCCGCATTGCAGACCGACAGCTCAGAAAAGACAGAGCAGCAATTATGATCCAGGTAACTTTATCCAATGATCAACTGGAGATGAAGAAATTGGACGCTAGTCGTTTCTGCGAAATTGCGATTGGGTCATTCACATCCATATTTTCCAAGAAATTGTACCAAATCACAATGCACTCTGAAAGAACACCATATTAAATCGCATTAACATCCCGGAGTTAAATAGGTCATCGTAAATAAAAGCAATTATTGGAGCATTCACCAACGTTCGTCGAATGTCCGGATATACTCAATGAGTACGTTTTCTTGTATAAATGCTGCTCACTTTCGAGACTACTATCACCGCAATGCTCGGCTCTACACGCGTCAGCGTTGTAACAGTCGCACAATCGTGGCCTTCGCGTACAACTTAAGCAGCATGCTGTTCACAGTCGACCACTAATCCCCGCAGTAACACCGATTCCCCTCTATCAGCGGTCTACGCGTCTCCCGTCTCTCTATGGCTTGGGCGTCCTTCGCTTCAAGTGTACCGTGGATAAGCGAAGCACGAATTGTCGTATCAATTCTCCTCTCGCAACGCTCACACAGTTCCCTTCTCTTTCTTTCACTCTTTTCCATATACTACAGATTCCAATGAGGTGAGTATCATATTCAATTTGGTTCTTGTTAAAAGGTATACTCCGCTTTTATCCTCGTTCGCAGTAAAGATACACCAATTTTCATCTATCAGCAGCTCCACCTTCACCTCAGATTCACGAATACTGTTGGATGTAGACCAAGTTTGCAGTCCTTTCTTATCTGCATTTGCACTGCAAATCCAAACGTGTAAAAAGTGGCTTCAATATATGTATTAGTTTTCCGTGTAAAAATAATACATTATACAAGTATTACATACAAATATGAATCAACACAAATTAAAATTAAAATTATTAATAGGTTTTAAGATCAACAGATTATTAAGATATCCATGAGCAACAATATTATTAAATTGCTTGTCAATTTAATGATTGATTTTACTATTTCAGTTCTGTTAGAATAATTGCGATTCAAGACTGAAAATTAAATTCGAAGTTTACAGGATTAGATATAAGTATATAAATTCAAATCGAATTATTTAAGTACTAAAGATCCAGTTTGATCGTTTAGGACTTTTCTATTTGTCGTGCATTCACATTACGGTCTTTAAATACTTTGTTTAACATTTAAATAGTGTAGTATAGTGTCATTTTTACACGGAAAACTAAATAATACACATAGGTATATAATTGAAGTCATTTTTTACACACTTGGATTTGCAGGATGTGCGTCACACCTTCACGTGCCTCACCTCTTCTGCTTCACAGGAAGAACAAACACGCTGCCCTGTCCAAGCACTGTCTTGTTACCTTGACTTCCAGAAACACAGATCGTCCGCCACTCAGAGACCGGAGCAATTCCGATCCGCGTAATCTGTCACCGTCCCGGCGTGAAAGACATCGAGTCGACGGAAGGAAGCCTGCTACGTGTCCACGAGACGCCGTCGCCGTCGTCGTTCCACCTGGCTTTCGCTCTCTGCTCCCCTTTGTCCCCCTGCACGCCCTGGCTGGCCCGCGGCCTCATAGGAGATGCGCATTCCGCGCTGTCACCCGATCTGCGCGTCGAGCTCGTCGAAGTCCGGGCGCACGTCCGGGGGCCTCCGTGTACTCACAAGTACGACTTAGCGATCGTCACGGCACAACCGGCGTGACTGCACTCCGTGCTGGCAATGCCCTGGCCCGCTCGCTCCTCGACGGTCGCTGCGCGCCGGGTCCCCGTTTTTCTCACCGACGGGCCGCATTTCATGGGATGCCCAGTGCCGTCTTCACCCTCCCGGGCCCGCGTTAACGCGTCTTCAACAATCTCCTTGCGTAACGCGTTTCCTCATACAATTGTCGTTATTATTGTCATTGAGAGTGCCTTTTCTGATGTATGATTCCTTCAATCTATTACTTTTATAATTTCCGAAGAATTTGGTTCAAAATTGCGAAGTCCTCTTCCTGTTCTTACTTAGCAATTTATTGGCGATACGTTAATTGAGTAAACATTGGGATATACTGAGCTAATAAATTAATATTATACAAATATTGTGCCAATAAATAGGTTCATTCTTCTATTAATTTCCAACGCTTATTATGAGTATTAATAAATATAATTAATTCATGAATCTCTTATTATCGTTACTTTACGATTCAATGTAGTTATATCCTTGTAATTTTATTTTACCTGTGTAATTCAAATTATTCTTGATAGCTCTCTCATAATGATCAATTTTTAATTCCTTGTCGATCAACACAATGATTTTGCTGAAGTATCCGATGATCACGACTTTTAGAACTTATTATTGAAACTCACTCGTTACGAGTCTAACAACATCGACGGTGAGTGATTCATCAGGTCAATGTCGATGTTTCGTCGATACTCATGTAGGCCCCGACCTGCACAAGCCGTGTTCGGAACAATTCGGAGTCACGTACTAACAACATGGCGGCTGCTCGCGGGACTTGATTCTTGAAGTGATTGCGGACGACGCCGGGTTCCTGTGAGGCCCAGCGCGGGAACTGTGCCGTGATGACGCGATCTCTCGATTGGCTCGCGAAGAGAGAGGGTTAAAACGTGAGCTACGAAGACGTGGGAGGACCTGCGAGGACGGCACGTAGGGCCCCACGACTCGTCGGGCCCTATACGCGAACAATAACAAAATCGAGGAAATGACGATCATAGATGCAGATTCTGACTGATGTGATTTGTAATTTGATTCGCGAAGTGCAAATTGAAATAACGAATTCATTTTCGCTTTTTATTTTTTACATTTACATTTTATAAAAATATTAATTAAATGTAATTTAAATTAAAAATTAAATTTATTTTATTTTAATTTTTAATTTACATTTAAGCTTTGTCCAGAAACTTCACGTGGGTACACTCTAGGATTGTCAAATCTAATATCAACATTTCTGGGACATGTCTGAGGCAATGATTAAAAAATAGATTAAATATTAGAGTTAAATTTTTAGAGTTAGTATTTTCTTATAAACTATCGATCTGATCATTTTTTTATAACATTTTAAACCGATACAATTTTTTTTAAGGTAGAAAGACAAATTGAAAACTGGGATGTGATAAATTTGTCTAAAGTTTTTTTTCTCTTGAAAAATTTAGAAAAATTGGAGATAAAAAAGCTTAAATTATTAAACACGAAATCAGTAGCCGACGAATTTCAAGACTTTCCCGGAAATCTTGGACAAACCTAGTGCAACCAAATATCATTTTATTCTTATTATTCACCGAATGTTACAAGAATAAAGTGAGACTTAGATGCTTCCGAAATTTCTGAACGCAGCCTCATTAAATATTATATTAGGATCTGTTTACGTTTTTGAAATCCTTTCAAATTTTTACATTTAAAACAAAATAAATACTCGAATATTGAAGAAAGAGAAAGCGAAGATTCTGAATGCAAAAAGTACAAGCAATATATGTGAAAAAAAGACAGATTTATTTTTTAAATAAATTTGCTTATATTTAAATAAATTCATTTTACATTTAATAAATTTACTTATATTTATACTAAAACGCATCTCGAAGAGAATATATTATAGTTTTAGAAAATATAAAAATATTTTTTAAAAGTTATGCAGTGAAACTATCATTCATAAATTATCATTTATAATTTACGATTCCAGAGATTAGAGATCCAAATGAATTTCATATCCAATGGATAGTGATGAATGCTCTTGCCGCTTTTCCGAGGTTGTCGATAGATACAAACCTGGATTTTTTTCTGATCTTTAGCGCATATCTTGATATTTACAGAAAAATTCCTAACACTCCTAATCCTTTGTGGAGTTTCCCATGAGACTTCTCAGCCGTTTGACTTTTCAGCGGAAAACACTATTAAGCCGAATGGGTAACGTTAACTAAATGCTGTAATCCAAGGAAGCGTTAGTACCTTTATGATTCAAGCAACAGCATAATTTCTGCATAATTCCCATCGATGCATCTATGCGTGTCGAAAAACACGCTTCCCTTTAGTAATTCTGCAGGCAAAAATAGGTAGCTTCCCAGACAACGCACATTGTCTGAAAGACTTCTTCATGATACTGACTGGGATATTGTTGACAACGCGACGGGTGCAAGTTTGAGGACACATTCTTTCGATTACATCTCGAAATGAAAATCGCATGATTTCAGGAGTCAAATTTCTAAAAAATCCCTTTATTTCGTTATTCATGTCCAAGCTAAATGCTCCTTCTCTCTCTCTCTCTCTCTCCTTATTTTCGATCTTTCTTCCTTTATCAGCTAGCTTATAAATCATCAACGTCCGTTGATCTCACAGACTGTACCGCACGGCAGGTGTTACTTCTTCACGCTCGTTCCTCGGCAGAAAGGTAATCTTCGAAAATATTCTACCTGCTTTCCGGCATATACATACATGTATACAGATACACATTGGAACACATTGGATGTGCACCTGCATTCCAGCGTCGTTCGTGTTTTGCGCCGGGCGTCTGGCGAAGAGGGACTAGATAAAATTTCAAAAGCGGCCCTTTAAATCAGGTCCCGTCAATGCAACGGAATGCCGGAAAAAAAAAACCAGCCTAGAGAAGCCCGGCTGACGCGACTATTGTATCATCATAGAAAAGCTCTCGCCCGTGTAAATATAATGCGACAAGGGATATATACCGCGTCAGGCTTCGACGTTGTGATTGACAGAAATCAAAATTGGCCTAAATAATCAAATTTTGTAATGAGAAATCTATTAATTTTTATAATAATAACGATTATTGTTAATAATACGTTATTAATTAGCATGTGTGAACGTGGCGCTGTTTAATTCTTAACAGTTTTAAGATTTTATTATAATAATAGTTATGCATACAAACCGAATTTTTTATTCTTTGTTTTCATTGACGTATCATTTTTATCGATTAAATATCTGGAGACTGGTAGTGGCTCGACGCTAAGAATGGCTACGTGATAAGAATGGCTAAGTAACTGACATTTACACGGTACTAGTAATCAAGTTTAACAACATCCGTTGTTATGAAATTGGTCAATCATAGCTGTTCTTCGGAAGAATGAAACAACTGTGACTCGTCATCCAGTTAGGTCCTCTTCCCTTGGGATGATGGGAACATTTTTCTCTTCTCGCAAAAAAAAATATTGGGCCAATATTGACTTTTTAATATTAGAAAGTTAATATATAGTCAATATTGACAAAATATTGGAGCCCCAATATTTTTAATTACTCTTTAACTTTATTCAAACGCGCTTTATGCAATCGCAAATTATAATTTTATATTTTAATTCATAATTTAAAGACTTATCTTTCTTTTATTAGAAAAAGGTGAGAGAGAAAATAATTTTGGAATCAAGCTAAGCCTGATATTCTGACAGTCTATATCTATATAGATACATGTCGTTATTTGGATTTGTACTGAAACTAAACTTACAATTAGTTGAGGAAAAGATAATTAAACTTTTAAAAAAATTAAGATATTTACATAAATTTAAATTTATGAAATATGATTTTTATTTCACTGAAATAAATGATCCTTATTTAAATATGACAAAATAAAATTTTTTTATTCTTAGCGAATAAACCATTTTATTTTTTTTTTACAACTATTGAGATAAATTTTACATATATTTTGTATAATTTTATTGCGCAATAAATTGTTTATGATCAATAAATATCGGAGAAATCGCCACGTGACATTTGTTTGCAAACATTTTGACTTTTTTTTTCTCAGTTTAAATAAGACGTCACAATTGCTACTACTTGAAAATATATGCCCGTATTCATAGTCAGATCTTGTACTTTAAGGTTTCCTTAAATTTATCTTTAGATGCTCAGTAACTAATGAAATAATTCGTAGAGTATCTGAAAATAAATTTAAGGAAACCTAAAATATAAGGTCTGATTATGAATACGGGTAATAGGATAGATTTACTATAATAAACATTTTCAAATTAAAAAAATATAATAGAACGTACTGAATTTAAGTAAATATAATGAAAGATATTCAGCTAAGTCTTGTATAACAATAATTAATGTAAATTTGTGTATCTTTTCCTTTTATTATAAATTAATTTCCAAGTAGCGCCATCTCGACCACTCTTCATCAAACAGTAGAAGACTTCCCGCGAGAGTCGATAAATATTTGAAAAATCTATTTTATCATCATTCGGTATCCATCCGAATAAATTAAAGTTAAAAAAGATACCAAATTTTGCCGACGGATGTCGCTAGGTGTATTAAAATCGAAACGTGACGCGCGCAGGCGGCATTCACGGCTACGTTCAGGTTGTATCTATCGGCGCGTGCATCACCTGGGAGGGCTGAAGCGTTTCTGGATCTGCGGCGAGCTCTAAAGGGAAAATCGATGGCAGGGACGAGGTGTGTCGTCAACGACGGTGAATTTTCACAGGCGAGTCGGGACACACGCGAATAAAACAGAAACGTATTCTCGGCGCGACGACCGCGAGGAGATCGAAAGGAATTTCGCGATTGTAGCGCGGAACGCGCCCTGCACCCGGGCGGCGTTGCATCCTCGCCGACCTCGCCTCGCGTATTTGGCTGTCCTCTCACCATGGTACTTAAGAACGTTAGCGTGCATCGGCGATCCACTGGCAACGTCCGCGGCACGAATGTCCAACGGAATTTCTGCGCGATGTATCGGATCAGAGTCTGCAATCCGGATTAAGACGGGCGACGATGACGACGTGCTGGACGAACCAGGTAAATGCTTTGATACGCCTTTCGATTTTTGACGCGATTAGCGGCATCGGTCTCGGAGTGATTGGTGCAATTACAATGGAAATTGTTTAAATACAATTAAGCAACATGTTCTCAAACAGGGTTGGTAAAAAACATGTTTTAAATGTATTTTAAACAATTTAAAACATGTTTATTGATGTTTTTAATATGTTTAAAATTTTTTTTTATAGTACTGTTTAAAGCATATTTGAAGCATTAAAAATATATTTAAGAAAAAAAAAGACGTTTTATTCTTAAAAAAAAAAATTAGTCTTTACCAACCCTTTTCTAAAATATAATAGATATACAGTTAGAAGTTGTGTAATAAAAATTTAATGAATGTTAGAAATTGTATAATAAATATATAAATTAAAAAATAAAATTAATACGTTTGTTAAACTATTTAATAAATATTAAAAAGATGTTCACAATAAAATATAAAAATTTGTAACGTCTTCAATCAAGTAAAATCCACTTTGACTGAAAATAGAATTATTTCTCTTAATTTAGTTGAAACTAGTTTTTATACGAGATATAATAAACGTATATTTAATATTTTTATGCGTCATAAAAAATGTATCAACTATTATAAATTTTAAATTGTCTGCATAGTTAATGAAGAAGTTTTTATTATAGACTGCTTTAATTCAAATCTAGGGACGCGATCGTATGGAAACGAACAGGAAATAGACAAAGTCGAATATATTCAGATACATAAATTAATAATAGAAACATAGAGAATGTGTAACAAATATTACAGCGGAATTGGAACGTTTTTCTCGGTTGAGTAAATTATGAAAATTTTAGACATCAGAAATCTCATTTATGTGTTTTTAAAAATAGATATTTTATTTTTATATTTTCTTCCAAAAATATTAGATGAATGTTTCATGCTAGGCTAAGCGGGTCTATTTTGAGATTTGAGATGCAAATCGTAAAGTCGTAATAATAATTTTCACATTTCTGCGTTTCCTCTGCTACAGGTGATTATTTTGATCAGCACATTTCAGCAGAATAAATCAATAAATGAAGTGAATTTAAATTTGAAGTTGATCTGAAAATATCACATTTCTTTTTTTGCGTAATTTTTCTTGCGTAATTTAATCCACTTGATATCATTCGTCTTCGCAGTTGATTAAACCTAGTTATGTGTTGTATAATTTATAATTTTATTTTTTATTAATCTACTATGCAGATAAAACTTGATTTCGAATGCGCTCATGGAAAATCATAATCACAGTCAAGAATGTAATCAAAGCAAAAAATATTTCTTTACACACGGCGCATCATCAATCTTTCATATATCTTAAATTTCTTGTTTGCCTTTCATTGCTCGCAGTGCATCAATCTTTCGTATGATTTTTGTACACGTCAACACGTTCGTGATTATATTAATTAGTAAGCGTCACATACGCATTTTAATAAGCAGTTATCGTAAAGTTGTCGATGCTGTTAACTATGGAAAAAAAATTACAGTTGCATCCGCTTATATCTGCTTGTGCTATGAATATTTATTTAAGTTTATCGTACATATATAATTATATATTTCTGTATCGTATAAAAATGTAATTATATATACTATATATATTATATTTTTCAAATGTATTTAAAAATATTGATTTATATTCGTTGATTCATTATAATTTCTATGAAAAATATGTATCTGTTGTTAAGAGAAATTCAATTTAAGAGTATCATAAATAGATCACGCGAATAAATAGACATTTTTATTAAAGTTTTATTAAAGTATATTAGTAATTATATATATATATATATGTATGTATATAATTTATATATAATTATATAT